GCGCTGGGTGGAGTGCGGACCCCCGCACTGCTCACCAGTGCGGTCGCCGGTACGGAGAACGTAAGAGCAGGGACCAAAACCCCCACCGCGCTGGCGTGCAGTGTACCACTCACGAAGCTGCTGAGGGGACAAGGTCACACCACTCCGCTGCTGCTGCTGGTGCTGACCACCACCGGCGCCACTCCTCGACGCAGAGTCGCGACTCGCTCCACCACCGCCGCCTCCGCCGCCGCCGCCTCCGCCGCCTCCTCCACCTCCGCCTCCTCCACTACCTCCGCCGCCTCCGCTACCTCCGCCGCCTCCGCTCCCTCCGCCACCTCCACCGCCTCCGCCGCCTCCACTACTGCCGCCGCCGCCGCCACCCCCAGCACCACTCCCACCAACACCCCCACTCCCTCCACCGCCTCCACCACCACCTCCACCGCCCCCTCCACCTCCTCCAGTGCCCTTGCCCCCCTTGCCCTTGCCGGTGCGGCGTCTCCCGCTCGGGGCAGACGCAGCGCCGACCGACTCGAAACCAACGAGTTCGGCCGCAGCACCAGAGGCAACAGAGGGCAAGAGGGGGGGGGGGAGAACACCCCTCAAAGACGGGGGTGCGAGGGTCACCACGAGAGGCTCCTATCGCTAGGAGAGCCTTCTCGAGGAGGTCAACGGTGAGAGTGGTGGGGCAAACTGAGAGGAAGTGGTCCCTGACTACACAGAGAGAGTTAGGGAGACGGGTGACTAAGTAGTAGAGGGTGATGTACATGGGGGGGGGGGGGGGTTCTTGGCGCAGAACTCAGCAGGAAACGCAGCGCGGTAGCGAGTGTCACTAGTGCGGAGGTGCGTTATGAGGTCAGGGAAGAGGTACGGTAGCATGAGGCGGCTCAGTGCAGCAGTGGCAGGGGAAGAGTAGCGTGCAACTACAGCGTCGTACAAGGTCTGAGCACTCTTGTACTGGCTAAAGTGTGCACGCTCAGTGGTCGGTAAGTGGCGTCAGCATCAGCAGCAGGGGCAGGGGAGACACCAGAAGTGAGGTCAAAAGGAAGAGGCCGTCTGCCCTATCGCACTGCAGGAAAAGCTGCAGATCATCTACCCAGACCTCAAAGTCCACTGCCCGACCCTCAGCGTCAAAGGTGAGAACGCTAGGGGAAGCCATAACAGTAGGAGGCAGGGCAGTGCAGTGGCAGAGACTGTGCTCTTACCAAGTAGGTGGAGCAATCGGGCTGCTCGGCGGCTCGGCTGTCGGGCGACTCGGCTGCAGGGCGGCTCGGCTGCTGGGCAGCTCGGCTGCTGGGCGGCTCGCCTGCTGGTGCGGGGCGGCTGGGCTGCTGGGCGGCTCGGCTGCACGGTGCTGGGCGGCTCGGCTGTCGGGCGGCTCGGCTGCTGGGCGGCTCGGGAGGTCGGGCGGCTCAGGTGGCCGGCGGTTCGGCTGCTCGGCGTTGCGGGCGCTGGGAGGCGGGGTCGCAGGTGGTGGCGAGGTCGCAGGTGGCGGCGGGCCGCAAGGGTGGGCGGGGCCGCGGTGGCGACGGGGCCGAAATGGGGCCTAAGTGGGGCCGTAGAGGGGCCGATGGGGCCGAAGTGGGGCCGTAGCGGGGCCGCAGCGGGGCCTAAGCAGGGCCGTAGCGGGGCCGACGGGGCCTAAGCGGGGCCTAAGCGGGGCCGACGGGGCCGTAGCGGGGCCGTAGCGGGGCCTAAGCGGGGCCGACGGGGCCGTAGCGGGGCCTAAGCGGGGCCTAAGCGGGGCCGTAGCGGGGCCTAAGCGGGGCCGACGGGGCCGTAGCGGGGCCGTAGCGGGGCCGTAGCGGGGCCTAAGCGGGGCCGACGGGGCCTTAGCGGGGCCGTAGCGGGGCCGACAGGGCCGTAGCAGGGCCGTAGGGGGGCCTAAGCGGGGCCGACGGGGCCGTAGCGGGGCCGTAGCGGGGCCGCAGCGGGGCCTAAGTGGGGCCGACGGGGCCGTAGCGAGGCCGTAGCGGGGCCGTAGCGGGGCCTAAGCGGGGCCGTAGCGGGGCCGACGGGGCCTAAGCGGGGCCGTAGCGGGGCCTAAGCGAGGCCGTAGAGGGCGGCTCGAGGGGCAGTAAGGGCGGCCAAAAGGGGCCACTAAGGCGGCTCAAGGCGCTACTCGGGTTAGGAGCTAGGCGCGCTCCGGGTAGGGAAGGAAAAAAAAGTTCGTGGTGGGCCCTAGGCAGTATTCCCACTCGGGAACCTGCTCGATACCATGACGAGAAGTGAGAATGGAATGAATGAACTATGAAACAGTTGGGTACAAGTACTAACCCTAACTGGGTTGTACCCTTTATGGGCTACCCCACTACAGCCTACACAAATGTATAAGCTATAATGTTCTGACACATAAATCACTACAGTACCTCCGCGCACAGCCACATCTCAACCCACGACAGATCCGCTGGCTCGATTTCCTCGAGCCAAATTTCCACTACACGGTCACCTACAAAAAGGGGGCATTGAACATCGCTGACGCTCTGACCCGCCCCACTGCCCAGATCCACGCAATACTACTCGCCCAGACAAGCCCACTACTGACAGGCCTATTTTCCCACGGGTACCAAACGGATCCATTCTTCACAGGAGGAAATTCGCAGCAGCAAAGGGAGTCTATTACGTAAAAGCCGGGACCGACCGCATCTGGGTACCAGGGTACACACTGCCACGGGAATTATTATTACAGGAGGCACACGACGGAGTTACCTCAGGGCATTCCGGGGTAGAGAAAACACGGCAGCAGCTGCAGCGGTATTATTACTGGCCCGAGATGTTGACCGACATACAACGATACGTGGCATCGTGTCAGGACAGTTGCAGCCGATACCACCCCCAGAGCGTGCTTGGCAGCAGGTGACGATGGATTTCGTCACGGGGTTACCGGCCGGGGCAAGTGGGAACGACGCGATCCTGGTCATCGTCGATCGACTGACGAAAATGGCACACTTCGCAGCCTGCAAAAAATCAATCACAGCCGAAGAAATAGCACACCTCTTCATCTCCACCGTCGTTCGACTACACGGGATACCAGCAGCGATCATCAGCGACCGAGACACGAAATTCACTAGCAACTTCTGGCGGAACATGTGGCAACGATACGGCACGCGAGTACAGTTCAGTTCCTCATACCACCCTGAGACCGACGGACAGACAGAGAGGACAAATCAGACAATGGAACAACTCATTCGGGCCACGTGCGACGACCCCACCACTTGGGAACAGCAACTGCCGCTCATTGAGTTCGCGTATAATAACTCACCCTCCGCCACAACCCAACAATCGTCGTTTTACCTGAACCACAGACAAGACCCGACAGTACCCATGACCCCGAATCCCGACAACTGGGTGCCACGAGCACAACAGTTCGCCGAAATTTTACAAGCAGCACGGACCCGGCCAGCAGACGCAATAAAAAAATCAAACATCATCGCTAAACGTAACGCCGATCGCCACCGCCGACTTGTTACTTACCAGCCGGACGACCTAGTTTTACTTGACACCCAGAACCTCCGCCTGCCCATCACCCCAAAACTTCGCCCCCGATATTGTGGACCATTCCGCATCAGCCTCATGATAACGCCCGTCACCGCCCATCTCCTCCTCCCCGCTGACTGGTACGTCAGCCCGTTCTTCCACGTCAGCCTACTTCGCCCCTACGTACCGTCCACAAGCCAACTGCCACGTAATCGCCCAGCCAGCATGACACGACCGCCGACCGAACCAATCATCACATTCGAGAAAATTCTGAGCCACAGATTTCGTGACCCTCGAGGAGCCCGAAAGATCGAGTTCCTGATCCGTTGGAAAGACCGTATACCCACCGAAGACGACTGGGTTCCCCTGGACAGAGCCGACAACCACCCCGTCCTTACAGAGTATCTGCGCAGCCGAAACTTCAGGGATCTACACGCACTTTCGTAAGGAGGACCTCCTTGGGGGGGGGGGGGGGGTAGTGTAAGGAAAAATCCTTTTCTTTACTTCGCGTCCCCTTTCAGCGCGTACACCACTGTAGCACCACAGTCAGCATCGTTACCACTCGCAACCCTCGCATCGACAATCCTCCCGCCACCTTCGCACGTCGCACCCCGACCTCACGGCTCGGCGGGTAACCCGCGCTTCGGGCCTGCGCTTCGACATTTCCCCAAGCCTCAGTCCCAGGCCCGTCGCGCGACAACCACAGTCCATTACCGTTACCACCGTAGTTTCGCTATATATTCTTCGCTCATGCCTTCGCTCATGCCTTCGCTCATTGTACTCTTGCTTCGATAGTGCAATTCTCGCTCGATCACTCAATTGCACTCGTAACAAGTGACTTTTTTGCACGGGGCTTCACAAGGTGGCTCCTACCGTATGTGACTGTTTTAGTATTTTCGCATTTGCTAATTCGTTTTCTAATAATACCATGATATAAACTTCTGTATACCTACAACAGTTGTAGCAGTCGGCATGTACACGCTTCTTCCTAATTTGACCGTTTCGATTAATTTCACGGCACCTTCGCTCTCCCCGAGCCGCAACGATCTCACAGATTCCAGCTAGCCGAGTCGCACATTTTCCCCCAGAAATTGGATCAGGAAGTGGAGACGGGGAGGGTGCTGCGGAGAGAGCTCTCAAGGTGGCAAGAATCTAGACCCAATTTCAACAGTTCACATGCTCTTCCACAGGTTGTTCTTTCCTTAGTTCCAGCATCCCCCTTCAAGGATTTGCCGAGTATAGCACGAGGTGGTTTCCGACACGATGCGTGAGGTTCATGTTCTGGATCATAGTTCTTTCGGTTTCTTCCTTACAAAGTCATCTCTGTGCTCAGTCGTCACTAACCTAACAATCCCGCGCTGCAACAGCCCTGGTCCTTAATTGGCGTACTGCCATTACGATCGTTTATCGTGAGCGTGTTTCCTACAGAACCAGAAAGTCGCCAAACCAAGTGCGTATTTCGAAGACCGCCCGTGCTGGGAACAGCCTTACAGGCAAAGCAGACTGCGCATCTTTTGCTTTACACTTACATCCTGTACAGCGATATGACGCCTATTAGCCATCTCGAAATTCCCCGGCCACACATCTGCAGCGCACTCCCTCGCCTTTCCTTTTTCCTCCTCGGAACAGCTCTCTCCCTACTGACGCATCATGTCTGCCTTCTCTCCGCGCAATCGTCCGCTGCCACATCGACAACCCCTCAATACGACAGTAAGCGTTCGAAGCTCATCCGAGGAGGCTTTTCCCGAATACCTCTCGTTGAGACGGACAGCCATATCCACTCGTCCCGCTTCTATCCCCGGCTCCTCAAGTCGTCCTCTCGAGACGAGCCCACATTCTGGCCGGAAGGCAGCGCGTCAGCCACAGACTTCTCCTCCGAAGCTTCCCCCACGCCGTACGTTCTGGACACTCCGGACTTGCTCCCCGAAGCGGACCCGAGTTTCGACTCCGGAAATCCGTTCTTCACTCCCAAAAAGCCCGTGATTTTCTCCATGCCGGACCCCGATCCCACTGCCTTCGTCACGAATCCATCCGCGGTAGTGAGTGCCCCGACTGGGGTGAACGTGGATATCACAAGTGGCGCTCCGGGAAATGGCAACGGGATTCAACCTGCTTTCCCGCAGCCCGGTGCTGGTAACCAGGTAACCAGTAGCTTTCCCGCTCCGCGTCCCACTGGCACAATTTACAGCGTGCGGAGTTTTGGAGCCAAGGGAAACGGAGAGTCAGACGATTCCAATAGTTTTTTGGCCGCGTTCGCAGCAGCGTGCAACGCGTCTCTTGCTGCAGATGACGGCACCGCCCCTGCAACGATGCTCGTTCCAAGTGGATACACCTTCTACCTCACGCCTATTCAGCTGATCGGGCCTTGCGGGCCAGGAGGAGTGAATGTCCAGATTGACGGGAACATAACCGCACCTGAGAAGCTCTCTAGGTATCCGTCGTCATCCAGAAAGGGCATTTTCGCGTTTATTCAATTTGGGATGATCACGAACCTGACGGTGTTCGGCTCGGGGTTTATTGACGGGCAAGGGGAGTCGTTCTGGGAGAAAGGAGGCGACCGACCAGTGCTGGTGTATGTCTACATGTGCAACGGCACGAGCATTAGCGGCATCACCCTTCAGTAAGTCTTGCTGGTTCCCTATCCTTCGCATCATTTACTTCCTCATCTATCACACGGTCACGCTCAGCAGTACTATGCAATCTGACTCATGTCAATGACCCGCCGTATCACAGGAATGCACCATTTTTCCACCTGCAAGTTACTCGCTGCGTGGGAGTGAGGATCTTTGACTTCAAGACAAACACCCTGCAGAGAGCAGAAACACGGACGGGATTCATGTATCCGTGTCAACAAATGTTGATATTCGGAACTGCATTCTGGCGGGCGGTAAGTGGTTGAATAAGTTTTCAACATCACACCATCTCGTTATTGTCTTTGTAAGTACACGTAGCATAAACCACACCATCTCATTATTGTCTGTTCCAATGCAGGTGATGACAACATTGTTCTGTGGGACGGCGCGAGAGGAGTCAGCATCTCAAACATTACCGCCTTCAGCGGACATGGAATATCGTATGTCACCCGTACCCCAATGTTGGATGCCTCAATCACACCACCGTGTATGGTCGTGGAATTGTTGTATTCCAGTGTCATGGTGTTCCTCACTTTCCTTCTATCGCAATAATGCGCAGAATTGGAGCACTTGGCAGTGGCAAGATATCAACACTCTCCTGCGTTTCAGACGTGACTGTGAAGTCCGTCCGGTTCTTCAACACGAAGATAGGCCTACGCATAAAGACTTTCCAAGGTGGAACTGGTGCAGCGACTAACATTGCGTATGAGGACATCACAATGGAGGGGGTTCGGTACCCACTGGTTCTGGATCAGGTAAGTGAACTATCTGATTAATTCTGCTTATGCCAACTTCGTCTCACTGTACAGCGGCATTGACAGTGATTCCTGTGGCTCCTTCAACTTGCAGTTCTACAATGGAGGGAGCTTGCTCTCGCGAAGCTCAGTAAAGTCCAAAAACGTCGCTATCTCGGGCGTTTCATTCTCGAACATCCACGGCACAACCATTGGAGACGAGGGTGCTGTTTTTCGTTGCAGCAAGACAGTACCTTGTACCAATGTGCGGCTCAGCAACGTTGACATAACCGCAGTAGGATCGCCCAGGCATCTGGTTCCGGTTTCAGACGACGTCTATGGTAAGGTAGGAGGAGATTCTTCCTTGGCAATGGAAATTGAAAGTAAGGCTGACTCTGACGAGCTTGAGAGGATACAGAAACTAGTGACCGCTTGTGCCTCGCAGCCCCTCGTTTACTAACTGTCGCCTTGTGGAATAGCCGCTGACAGCCGATAGATTCCATAACTATAGCCAACGGCCGTGATGCTTCTTCACTGATTCCATAACCATAACCCACTGATGCTTCTTACTGACATGACCAGTCAGTGAGATGAGAACCCACTGATGCTTCTTCACTGACAAGACCAGTCAGTGGATTTTCCTCCGTAGCCTCAGTATTGTAGATAATGTACTTCCATAGTGGGTCGAAACGTCTGAAAAGCTTTATTTGAAGATACAATGTACAGCGTTAATCTTCCAAAACTATAAATTCGACTACCAGTGCAGCAGATCCAAAACTCTCTGGACGGCATCCTGGACGTTTTTTGCGATCTTCTTGCAGCTTGCTTTGTGTGGCAAGAGTATCTTGTTTAATTCGTTCGAGCTCTCTGCCGATGTCAATTCCTTCGTAATTGAGAGAACTGAAAGAGTTAACGCTCATGTTAGTCGTCAAATTGGCAGTGAAAATCCTTGGTGCTTGACATGACGCCAGATGGCACTTACTCTATGTCAGGCAGCAGACCTTCCATAGCGCTTTGAGTCTGATTCAACAGCTGCGAGATTAGATCTCGCGTGCTGTTGCCTACGCCGGCTTCTTGTGGAAGTTCTTCAGCGCTTTGGTCAACCATGCCTTCCTCAGGACACTCGATGACAGTTTCCAAGGCCATAGTGATGATCAAACCGATCAAATGAAGATCTGAGACAAAGGCGAATGTCGATCAGAGTTGCAGATGGAAGTTTGTAGTCCAGCAAATGTCAATCCCAAGAGTGGTTTGTATCCTCGTTATGGAAGCCTCGATACAGCGGCTTTATTTAGAGTGATTTTCTCAGTGTTTGAAAATCATATTCTACGATGGGGTTGGTGTACCTGCTCTGCACAACCTCCGATGTATACTTGACCCGAACAACATCTCTTCTCGGAATGGTGGAACCAGCGAGTGTCAGGGGATCAGTTCTTTGCCAAGTCAGCGACGAGTAACAACAATTGCGAAGCAGAGATGTCTCGCCATCTTCGCCCATCGAAGCACCAATGTCAGTGGTGTATGGTCGCAGAATCCCAGATCTCAACCGCAGCTGCTTGCCTAGAACCAATATCAACGGCTAGGATTCACTTCCCTCCTAGTGCTTAGCTTCGAATTCAAACCATTGAGCTTGCCGCGTTCCAAACTGACACGATCATTCTGCGTCTCCAGATCAGAAAACAATCGACGGTTTCTAGGTCATGAGTCCAACGTTCACCAGCGAAATCCCGCAGCTCCCGCCTTCGTCAACGGAATCTCGCTGAATAAAGTCGGTGTCGTTCGTCTTTAGTGAAAGGAGGGCGCAAGCGAATGGCGTACACATGGCATTTTTCTTTTCCCTTCACTGACCGGCAGATTTATGTGCCACGCGGACGATTCTCAACCAGCCAGCGATGTGAAATCTCAAACCTCCCTGTCATGGGCAAACCATTCGCAGCCGTCGTCGCTGTTCGTCGTAAACCCAACGGAGCTGGTTAACCTGTACGCCAATGAGGAAATGGCTAGGATTGTCGTGCTGAAACACGCAAAAGGTCCGAACTGACGGCTGCGATCTGGGTTAGCCAGCACGTTTCAGACAAATCAGTGATTCTGGACGGTAGATCTGAAGAGGGTTGCTGTGAGGAAAGGAGAGGAGAGGCAGTTAGTGACCCCTCCGCCTCATTCCAGCGTCACCGTCGCCTCTCGCCTCATTCTCGCCTGAGCTTCGGATTTCACGGCGCTTTCGCCTCTTGCTCTCACTTTCTCATTTCTCGCTCAAGCTTCTTCTGCTCGTTTTCTTACAGCTCCTGCGACTGCGAAAAGGAGAGCCGTTAGGAAATCTTATTTCATTCTGCTCCAGGCCTGGCTTAATGTAGAAGCTGCGTCGGGAAGAGGAAATGGCGTGTCGGAAGAGGAAATCGCGCGTGAAGCCTGGAAACTTGACTACGAAAGAACAAGTGCGAGGATGGCGATTTTCGTGTGCAAGGTACGTCTGAGTGCGAGTGCTTTTTTCCACGTATCCGAGTTTTTCTTAGTTTGTGTAGCATGCTTTCGTTTTAGCGCACGCGAGGTTGTTCAGTGGCGCGTCTGACGTGATGACGACTGCATGTTGCAGGTTTGTTCCGACCGAGGCGACAAGTCGCTGAATGGGAAAAGATCAAATTGGGAAGGGAGACGAGCACGAGCAATGTCACCATCTCGTTCTTCGTGCGATTTCGGGGAGTGCATGCGAGTTACAGATTCCCTTCGTAGCAGCTCAGGTATTTGGCGAAGCCACACCCGTACATAAAAGTCAATTTCGCAAATCAGTTTCCCGCATGTCAAGCGTTCGCTTTTCCGTTTCGCGTTTCAATCTTGATGAGCAAATTCACCGATCGATTTCGTTCATAGTTGTCGCGTTTCAGTTTCCCGTTTCAACTCTGCAATACTAGATCCCGAATTTCAGTTTCGCGATCTAGTTGCAGATCGTTTTCGTATCACAGTACGTTGTTTCGCGAGCTGATTCCCTGACGTACGTTTCCCGATCGATTTCACAGATAGTTGTCGCCGCGTCTTTCCACCCACTGCAGGCCGCCGCGCGTCACGCCGTTGCCCAACCTCCCGGACGGGTGCCACGCTGGTGGGTGCCGTGAACCTCTCTCTTCCGCCACACGCCGCTGCTCTCCACCCAACTCACCCACATCTAAGATAAGCTAAGTACCCCGCCCTGCCTCTCTCCTTCCAACTCTCGCACTTTTGTTGCCTCTATTTTAGCATTTCGCACTTGTGTCGCTATAGCTGCCTGTAGCACACCCGAGTCCAGCCCTTTTCTTTTAAGGTTCAGACTATATGGTACCCCCTTTGGTAGGTGCAATTTTTTTTACCCTGGTACGGTAAGGTAAAGGTCCCCGTTTCCCCTTGGGTGTGTTGCAGCAGCTATACCCCCCCTCCCGTACTTGCTACACCAATTTCCGTTTCTCGCATGTGACTCGACTGCGGTCCTCCTTGTTTCATCACCCCTCCCCCCATCCTTCCCGACCCCCTCGCCCGTTACACCTCCCTGTCCCCCAGTTCACCTGCTGCCCACTAGAACCTTCGTTCCAAACAATCAAGGAGCGTGGGTGTGGGACGCGAGGCGGAGGCAGCAGCAGGTCATTGTGGGCTGCGCAGCGCCTCTCAAACCACAGCGCGGATCAACAGATGAGTATCGCGCCACCACTGTCCCTCCCTTCGCCTGTATTCGATTTTTTTTTTCCGCGTGTTGTTTTGTTTGTTTCACATGCTTGCTGCCTCTTCACTCTAGCTGCCTGTAGCGCACCCAAGTCCCTCCCTTTCTGGTGAAGGGTCTGACTGTGAGGTACTCCCCTTGGTAGGTGCAAACTTTCAACCCCTCCCCTGGTACGGTAAGCAAAGTTCCCCCACTCCCCTTGGGTGTGCTACAGAAGCTATACCTCCCCTCCTCTGTTCGCATCTGCTCACGCGCACTCGTCTTTCTCTCCTCGCCTTTGCTCGTGATTCTAACGTCCACCACCCCCCTCCCTCGCCTCCTCTCCCCTCCCTGACTCTCAGCGCCTGCTGCTGCTGGGGACCATCGCTTTGCCACGCAAATGCGGTTCAATGGACGGGGGGCGAGGATGGCAGCAGCGGAGGCAGCAGCGGGTCGTGCTGAGCCCTCCAGCAAGCACGGGGTGAAGAAAGTGCAGATGAGTATCGCTTCACCTCCCACCCCGTTCTCAACTTCGACCGTTTTGCCATTTGTTGCTTCTCTTGCTTCCTGTTCTGCGGCCTCGTCACTCTAGCTGCCTCTAGCACACCCAAGCCCTCTCAATTTGGTGTCAGGTACTCCCCTTGGTAGGTAACCCCTGGTATGGTAAGGTAAAGATCCCCCACTCTTCTTGGGTGTGTTACAGAAGTTATACCTACCCTCCATTATTCACATCTAGTAACTTGTACTTGTCTCCCTCGGACTGGACATCTCCCCTCCCCCCTTGCCCATGATTCCAGCATCCACCCACCCCTCCATCCCCTCCCTGACTCTCAGTGCCGGCTGCTGTTGAGGGCCATCGTGCTGCCTGCCGAGCGCTTCTCAATGGACATGGGGGCGAGGAGCCAGCAGCGGAGGCAGCAGCGGAGGCAGCAGCAGAGGCACCAGCGGAGGCACCAGCGTGTCGTCTTGGGCTCTCCAGACGAAAGTAAAGATGAGTATCGTAGCACACCTGCCCTGCCTCTCTCCTCCCAACCCTCGTACTTGTGTTGCCTCTCATGTCTCGCTTGCATCATGCAGCAAACTCTCTCCTTTACTGCCGTCTGTCAACTCAGAGACCTCCCTCCCCCAAGGTAGCAAGGTAGCAGGTACGTGCTCAGGTATTTGGTTTAGTGTGGTTCAGCTGGTATGAGGTCTCTCGGGTGTGCCACTGCCGCAGTCCATTCATGCACGCATCACTCTTGTGATTTCTTCTCCTCTCTTTCTCACTGTAATCACTCTTTCGTTTCCTCATTGCCTCCCCCACTCCTCTGCTCTCCAATCACACCCATGTCATCCTCTCACCTGCCCTCCCCTCAGGAAAGGAGGGAGCATAGTTGGCGCAACAATGGAGGGGAGGGCAGCAGAGAAGGGAAAGGGGAGGGGAGGTAAAGATAAGGCAACAGCCCTGTCAGCGGCTGTCAGCCCCACAACAGAGGAGGGAGCAGAGTGGCTATGCGTGTGCACACAGGCTGTGGCTGGTGGGAGGGTTGCTTAGCTAGAGTTGCGGCAGCAGGGGCGGGGAAGGCGGCAGAGCGATAACTGCAGGAGAAGGGGAGGGGAGGGAGGGATGAGGCAACAGCCCTGTCAGCGGCTCTTCATCTGCCAGTGAAGTCACTCCTCCTCATATTCGTCCCTCACCTTTGCTTGCTCCGCATTGTTCATACTCCTGCTTTCTCTTTGCCTCTGAAACTTTCGCCACTGGTTGGGGCCCGGCTCACAAGCCACAGACTTTCTCTCTGCCTTCAGGTAAGCCCTCAGGCTCAGGTTCAGGTTTAGCGTACAGCCCCTCAGGTTCAGGTTCAGGTTACCTCCTTAGGTCCCGTTGGAGTCTGTGCCTTGTTGCTCCTGCCCCGTCCAGTGGCCCTTTCCCTCTCTCGCCCCTGCCTAAGGGGTGGGCTTGGCCTCTCAAGGTACGTCAGCCTCTCTCTTGCCTCATCCCTCATTCTGCTCTTCATTCCGCCTTCTCGTTTCCCTCAGCTTTAGTTGTTTTCTCTGTGCAACTCAGTTACTCGTAATTCCCCCCTTTCTTCCCTCCTTACCAGATCGTGCAAGGGAGTAATCTGCTGGTGCTTCAGTCTTCAGCTGCCCTCTGCTCGCTCTCACACAATCAGCTAAGTGTCCCTTCCTCCATGCCCTCGCCCTTGCTGCTGCCATTTCGTTTGTCGCATCTGCTTTCGCACCCTTCCTCTTGAAGCAGTGCCACTCGCTAGGTCCGCCTCACATGCCACAGACCCCCCAACTCCAGGTAACCCCTCAGGTGTAGATCAGGTGGAAATAACCCCTTCAGGTGCAGGTAACCCCTTCAGGTGCAGGTACCCTCTCAGGTTCACCCCTTGGGGTCTGTGCTTTGTGGCTTGGCCTCCACCAGTGGCCCCTCCCTGCTCTCGCCTTGCAAACTCTCTTCTCGCTCTTGCACTCTCACCCTTCCTCCCCTTGCTGCCCACTGACCAGCTCTGCGTGTGTGCTTGCAGGTGGAGAGGAGGGGTGGGGGTCAACACCGACGCTCCCTCACGACGCCCCTCCCCTGTGGCCGTGCAGGTACCCGTGGGGATAGTAGGGAGGCAGCACTGCCAGTCGCTGCCACAAGGGAGAGTATCGGGGTGGGCTTGGCCTCTCAAGGTACGTCACCTGCCCTCTTGCCCTCTTTCTGTTCTTCAGTTTTGCCTTCTCGATTTCATCAACTTCTGTTTTGTTTTTCCTTCTCTGGTCTAGCCAACTCACTTGCTTTTACTTCCCCCCTTTCGTCTGCTTCCACCCCCCTCGCCTGTGGGGTGCAGGTGCCTGTCTGTGGGGATGGGAGCGGGGCAGCTCTGCCAGTCGCTGCCACAAGGGAGAGTATCGGGTTGGGCTTGGCCTCTCAAGGTACGGCGCCTCCCCTTTTGCCCTCAACCCTCTCTTTTTGTGCTCTGTAGTTGCGCCTTCTCTTTCTCGTCAACTTCAGGTCATTGATTTCTCTAGTCCAGCCTATTCACTTTCTTTTACTTTCCCCCTATTCTTCTGCCCCCACCCCTGCAGGCCACTGGGCATCGAGAGAAGACTGTAGCAGAGAAGCTGAGTAGCAGACCAGCAGCAGCAGTTGTAGCAGCAGAAGCGGCAGCAGCAGCAGCAGCAGCAGCAGCAGCAGTGGGGGTTTAGAGACAGGCTAGGTTAGGTCAAGTCGTGAGCGAGGAGTGGTATGGTATCAGGTAAGGTATGGAAATCTGATCCCCTCCTCTTTTTCTCCCTCCCCACCCCTCTTTGCAGCCTGAGTATGGATGGAGCACTGGAGCAAGGGCAGGACAGAGGCATCTCTCTTTTCATCCTCACTTCCCCCTCCCTTTCTCCCTCCCGCTGCCCCCCTCCCCACTTTCCAGCACAGTCGATGCAGCCTGAGGGAGAGAGGGAGCCATCGCACTACCCTGCCCCCCCCCCCTCCCCCCCTCCTCCTCCTCCCTCCCCCCCTCCTCCTCCTCCCTCCCCACTTCCCAACACCCTGAGGCAACATGGCGCTCTGCATGGCTGTGGTAGGTAGAGGAAAGAGGCATGGGGTGAAGGGGAGAGTGGGGAGGCGGTGGGAAGCATGGGAGCAAGTGGGCAGGTCACTCTCTCAGGGGCAGCATCCTCTAGGGATGTGCCTTGCGGGTCGGGGTGTGGTGGGTGGAATCTGCGCGGCACGGCACTCGGTGCTCAAGTAACTAACCTGACGTTAAGGCTTAATGGGCACCGTCAGAGTCGACCGGCCGGCGACTCTGGTTCGCGTCAGCTCTAGCTACGCCAGGGGCAGGATTTGAGTCTTGGGCTGGAAGCAATTTTCCACTACCACACCTCGCCCTTCAAGGCACAGCCCCTGGGGGTGCTGTTTCCGAAGGGGAGTGGGCTGTCTGCTGCTTCTACTGCTGGCAGTTAAGTTGGAGGGGATGAGTGGGCTGGATGTGATGGTTGGGCTAGGTGGTATGGTAGTGAGTGGCTGTGGGGATGGCAGTGGCATATGATGAGCCGTATGGCACTGATGCCACCTGTGTGAATCATGATGGTGGAGAAAGGGGCTGAGTCCCTTGGGTGGCACATGATGGGACGGATGGCACTGATGCCACCTGTTGTTGCATGGGCGTGATGCTCATGCTTGGCTTGTTGGGGGCACATGATAAGTTGCACTGATGCCACCCTAAAGGATGGAAGCATGATGCTCATGCTTGGCTGGTTGGGGGCACATGATGAGTTGCACTGATGCCACCCTTAAGCGTGGAAGCATGATGCTCTTGCTTGGCTGGTTGGGGGCACATGATGAGTTGCACTGATGCCACCCTTCAGCATGGAAGCATGATGCTCATGCTTGGCTGGTTGGGGGCACATGATGAGTTGCACTGATGCCACCCTAAAGCATGGAAGCATGATGCTCATGCTTGGCTGGTTGGGGGCACATGATGAGTTGCACTGATGCATTTAAGCATGGAAGCATGATGCTCATGCTTGGCTGCATGGGGGCTCATGGAGGCGTGCTGCTCATGAGTGGGTGAAAGGGGCTGAGTCCCTTAGGGTGGGTGAGAGCAAGTGAAAGGGGCTGAGTCCCCTTGGGTGGGTGAGAGCAAGTGAAAGGGGCTGAGTCCCCTTGGGTGGGTGAGAGCAAGTGAAAGGGGCTGAGTCCCCTTAGGTGGGTGATCATGATGTTGATGCTTGGTTGATGGTACATGATAAGCTCTATGGCACTGGTGCCACCTGTTGCATGAGAGCATGACTGGTGGCACATGACGGAATGATCAAGTTGGAGGAAAAGCCAATGATATTGGGTACAAACCAAAGGGTCGGAGAAGGGTGGAATAGAATATGCAGGAGCGTTGTGGAGAGGTAGCTTGGTGGACGGATTCGTGTGATAGTGTTGGTGGGATGGCACCTACCACCCACCTAGTTGTCTTAGGGTACATTCCGCTGTGGACACATGTCCCAAACGATGTGTCCCAATCGTTTCTACCACACTGCATCGTATTACACCAAATTGCACCCTAGTTTCAAAATTTTCGCGTCTCTGGTTTAGTTCGGTTCGGAGCGGTACACTCTATTGGGACCAGGCCTTTTTTTTTGGTTTTGGAGCACTCTTGTTTCCAAAGGCGTTTTTGGCCTAACCCTTAAATCCAGAGTGGCCGCACTGCTCTTAAATGTCAGTATAACACGTGCTGTCAATTTAAAAACCCTGTTACTTCAGAGTAACTTTCATCTATAACCCTGGTGGTTACCCATTGTTTGCTATAGCTGTTGCACTGCCAGAATTATTGAATTTTTTAAACTTTGTACACAATGACCTACTACCACAAGCTCACTCATCGTAAGCCACGTCATCCTCCCGTTCGTCGTCCGAACTGGCCTCTGTCCCGCCCTTGTCATTGGCTGGTTGGAAGGGTGCAGGGGATTTTGTAGGCCGCCTCTTCTTCTGCTTGCGCCAGATGTCCACGACATCTGGCCACTCCACGTTGTAATCGAGCATGTGGATGCTCATGAGTTTGGTGCGCCGCGTGTCGTTGAGAGCCGTGCGCTGCCAGCTCTTGATGATGTTCTGACGTGAAAATCCACGCTCACATTCGACGGTGCTGAGTGGCAGGACGGCCAACGCCTGCCACAGGGTCATGATGTTGGGGTAAGTTCGCCGCTAGTCGCGTGACCTCGGCATGTTCGTCAGCGCCTGGTAGAAGTCCTCGTCCTCATGGTACGTCCTCATGACGTGGCAGAAAGTTTTCAGCTCAAGTTCGGCTGCCCGCAGTTCGAATCCTGCCAAAACAGTAAGCGCAGCACAGCGTTTTTTATATACGGAAATGTTAGGTACACATTGACGAGAGGCATTTTTTCAGGGAAAGCACACATACACGATTGAAAAGATATACACATACCTGGCAGCTGGTGGTTGACAAGTTTAGAGATCTCGCGGAGCCATGTGGCACAACGTCTCACACGCGTGACCGCATTCGCTGGCCACTTGTCCACCCTGAAAAGCTTCAAGCCGCCCATTCGACGAAGATCTCGCATGCGGTGCTTCAGGTTGTACACGACCTCACGGGCGAAGGCCTTGCCCAACTTCACGCAATCTGCAAGCGTCCCGCCGAACGTGTGCTTCTTGTCCGCCAGCTCGCTGAGCTCGAAGGTGTGCTTGACGGGTATGCCGCTAGCGTCCACGTCGTCCACCTTCACCATGTTGTCCCCTTTCTTGACACGTGCCATGAATGGAGACAGGATGGGGCTCAGACCCGCCCCGAAACCACCATCGTAGTCGATGTAGCGGTGCTCGATGAGGGACATGAGAAAGTATGAATGAGAATGAATGCACTATGGAATGAAGTGGGTACAAATATGAAACTCCAATTGGGTTGTACCCCCTATGGGATACCCCACTATAGCCTACAGAAACAAGTAAGCTATATGTTCAGACACACCCCCATAGGCAAAGTGGGGGAGAACAAGGGGTCACAAGACCAGTCAAGCAAAGCAAAGCAAAGCTCAGGGTGGATCACAAAGTCACCACGCATTCCGAGCACAAGTTCAAAGGCCAGAAGGCCAGTTCACATGCAAGATCATATATAGAGATATACAAGAGTCAAGCAAGCAAGAGCAAGAGTATATATATAGGCGAAGGTACAAGCAAGGTCAAGAGGAGAGCAAGTGAGGCAAGACAGGCACAAGACCTAACTGCATGCAACAACGCTGATGATCACAAGGCGCAAGTGCCTTGGTGAAGACATCAGCAGTGTTGGCTTCAGAGGCCACGTACGCAAGTCGCAACTGTCCACGCTGCTGTAGCTCACGAGCAAGAAAGTAGCGGAGAGCAATGTGCTTCGTTCTGTGCTCCAGTCGCTGCTCTCGACACAAGGCCAGCATGGCCTTGTTGTCTACGTACAGGACTGGAGGAGAACGAGGCTGCTCTCCAAGGTCGGTCAGCAGGTAGGTGAGCCAGCGTAACTCTTGTGCAGCCATAGCCCCAGCGTAGATCTCAGCCTCACAACTGGAGCCGAGAACAGAAGACGAGCGAGTAGCCCGCCACGAGACAGAGCCGGAACCAAGGCTGAAGGTGTAACCCTGTGACGACCGCTGCGTAGCCTGGTCGTCAGCCCAAGAAGCGTCTGCGTGCCCAGTGAGGACCACTGGACTGCGCCCTCCAAGCACTAGCCCCATGCCCGACGTACTGCACAAGTAGCGCAACACCCTCTTCGCTGCAGCCATGTGCTCTGGTCGGTGTCTCCCAGGAGCAACAAAGCGTGCGAGAATGCTAAGAGGGTATGCGAGGTCAGGTCGTGTGCAAGTCATCAGGTACATGAGGCAGCCAACAAGCTCTGCAAACGGGCCACTCGACTCTACGGACTCATCCGAAGGCAGAGCTGAGAGCGAGTGGCGAGTAGGCAGAGGAGTGGCCTGAGGCGAGGAGTACGTGAAGCCGAAGCGCTGAAGGACCTGCTGCACCATGTGTGACTGAGTCAGGGTAATGGTGCGGCGTGCTCTGTCCCGGGTGATCTGCAAGCCAAGGTAGCTGCGCAGTTCACTCAGGTCAGTGCACGTGTGTCTCTTCTGCAGCTCGGACTTCACGTAGGCGAGTCCAGCAGTGTCAGCTGTGGCAAAGACCAAGTCGTCGACGTACACGAGGATGTAGAACGGCGGCAGAGAGGTGTCGGTGCGCAGAAACAGCGACGGGTCGGCAGTAGAAGGAGCAAACCCAAGTGCCGCGAGCGTAGTCCTCAGTGTGTCGTGCCACTCACGTGGCGCCTGGCGGAGACCGTAGACTGGACGCCGAAGACTCCACTGGGTGCCAGGAGGGAAAGACCCAGTGAAGCCAGGTGGGCGACGCAGCCAGATCTCCTCGTGCAGGCTGCCCTGCAAGAAAGCTGTGCTGAAGTCGAGAGAGTGCAGCTCGTAGTCACGGTGAGCAGCAACGTGCAGCAGAACCCGAAGAGTGGTCATCTTCGGGGTGGGGGAGAAGGTCTGAAAGTAGTCAACCCCCTGCCGCTGTCTGAAGCCACGAGCCACGTAACGCGCCTTGAAGACAGGCGGAGAACCTGGCGGCCGCTTCACCCTGAAAATCCACATGCCACTGACGATGTTCGCCCCAGGAGGGGGAACAGCGTCAACGTAGGTGCCTGTGGACTTCCAGGAAGCCATCTCTGCATCCATAGCTGCCTGCC